AGGGGCACGTCTGAGCCTCTTCCCGTAAGCGCTGGGCTGTGTTTCCACAAGGCAGCCTGGGGCGGGGGTGCCTCAGGTTCTGCCAGCCGGGCCGAGACACCGAGAGACATAGCCAAGGACCGCTTCCACTTCTGTGTGTTTGCTGAGCTGACGTGTCAAACACTCAGGGGTGTGAGAATGGCGAGAGCCGGGGGGCCGCGCAAGAGACGCCCCTCCTCGGGGCCAGGAGCCAGGCAGCAGGGTCAGAATGGAGCAGAGGGTCCTGAAGGAAGAGGAGGACTCGAGGGCTGTGTGTGAGACCCCCAAGGAGCCCCCAGGCCATAGGAGTTCCCCGATGTGAAGTGTGGGTGCCGGTCCCGCTGTGGGCCCCGGGCAAGCGTCCCCTCCCCGGAGACCTGAGTTCACCACCTCCGTGAGGACCAGCTGGATGAACCCTCTGGGGGAGGGGACGAGGAGCCAGGCCCCCATCTCTCAGGAGGAGTCTCGAGCCCCAGGGACCCCCAAGGGTGGCGCCCCTCATGTCAGCATACATTTAGGGTACCACCTGCAGCTTGCAGGAGACCAGTCAGAGGGGGCTTATGTTGGCACTGTGGGACCTGGGGTGGGGAGGGCAGGCATGCGCATCTAGGCAGCTGGAGGTCCATCAGACTTTCCCAGAAAATCTTGCGTCTCGGGTTTTGACAATCCTCATGTTGAATTTTGGAGTTAAAGTTTGTGACAGACCCGTCCAATCCGGGCTCACAGTGACGCCTGGGCCTGCTTGCCCCATGTGTGTGAAAGCCAGCCTGTACCAGCTCTCGCGATTTCTCTACGGGGAACGCAAAAAGCCGCTTTCCCAGGTTTTGGGGTGTGAGGGGGTTGGGCACCTGGGTGATCCTGGTGTGGGCTTCTCCTCCGTTCAAAGCAGTATTTAAGTCCAAAAGTCAGTGAAAAACATCTCTCAAGCATGAAATGATGAAACTACTCAAATGTATCTCTCGTTGGTAAATCCGGCCAAGCTGGTCACGCAGCTGCCCCGTAGGGAGGGGCATGGGCCGCGGGAGCCCGGGGGGGGCCTGGGTCGCAGCCCCCACTTCTCAGGCAGCCAGGAGGTCCGGGGGGGGGCACACGCCAGCCGCATTCTCCTTGCTTTGCCACACCTGTCACGTTATGAGCAAAGCAGCACCCCGGGGAGCCCCAGATGGGAAAGGGCAGAGCCCCGCGAGGCCGGGATGCACGGAGCAGGCACTGTGGGCGCCCCGGGGACGCACAGTCACTGTCAGCGGGGCTGCTCAGCCTCCTCCAGCACACATGCCACCGGGACCGAGCAGCCCTCGGTCACACGGCGTGGCCAGGGCCAGCCTCCCCGCTGCTGGCTCAGGGCCTGGCACACGGGGCTGCACGGGAGAGAAGCAGCCGCCACGGAACGCCCCGGCCAGCGCCCGAGCAATCCGATGGCTGCCCCCCCGGGGGTCCCGGCCCTTCCCTGCAGGCATTTCACATGGGGGCCCTTGAGTCCTGCACCGCAGGGCGCCTCGTGCCCCCAGGGCGCAGCTCAGCCGGGCAGCAGGGGCGTCGTCAATAGATGGGGTCAGGAACATTTGTCCGTGGCAACTCCGCAATTACCCGGGGACACCGTGCTTTTCAGGGACCTCTCAGTGGGCCAGCTTCTGCATGACACACGCGGCAGAGACCCGCTCCGGCCACACATTCGTGACCTGGACACCCCCGAGCCGAAGCTGCATGCCACACCAGGCAGGCCCTGGTGCAGCGGGTCCTGCCTCTCAGACTGAGATTGCACGTTCCGGGCCAATCCCTCCCCACCTGGGACCCGGCGGGCTGTCTGGAAAGGGGAGCGTGGGGGACCTCCAGTGGCCTTTCCTGGCCTGGGACAGCACGACAGCCTGGCTCTAGCTGTAGATTTAAAACCGAGTGCCGCCAGATAGGCTGCAGGAGCGGGCCACCGGGAGAGGGGCGAGCGGGCCGCTGTTACCCACAGACGAGGTCATCGTCTGCTAGAGCACCACGGGGACAGATGGCCCACGCCCTGCCTTCCTGACTCCGCTCTGGGGCACAGCAGGCGGCAGGCCCATAGGCAAAAGCAGTCATTTTCACATCAGGTACGGAAAACCAGGAGTTAAATTACAAAAATAGACTGTGTCGTCCTGTGGCGGGCCACGGCCAAGGTGCCCCCAGCTGAACGGGGAAGTAAGACCCTTTGGGCCCACGGAGAGCTGGCCCCGGAGGCCTGCCCAGGAGCGAGGGGAAGGACTTCACGCCCCACCCAGAGCCCTGGCTGATCCGCACCGAGCACGAGACGTTCTCCTAGCATGGGTGCCGCTGCTGGCCTTGGCGTCCAGGCCGAGGCCGCCTGGCCCACCTGCCCAGGTGGCCTTTGTCTCCAGAGCTCCAGAGACAGAGGTCGGTTACCTGCCCCGCTGTTGGCTGTCCTCGCAGGCTTCCTCAGCTCCCAATCGGCTCTTGGCCTGAGGAAACGCCTCTCGGGATTGCAACAGCCCCCTCCCTGTTACGCGAACACAAGGCATCTTCCTATTTGGGGACAAGGCACACCCCCCTCCCCGGTTTCCCTGGGCTGCACACGCCCATCCACCTGCCAGGACTGGTCGTCCAACCCTGGGCCCAGGCTTCTCCGGTCCTCCCACGAGCCCCGCTGACACGCGGGGCTGCACAGAGTGGGTCCTGCCCGGGGTGGGGCAGGCCGTAACAGCGTGACCTGGGCACGTGGCATGACGGAAGGGCATCCGAGGGGCTCCACGCAGCTGAGATCACTCCCTGCACAGGAGGCTTGGCCGGGCTGAGCAAAGACAGGGACAAGCATTCCAGGCCAAGGGAACAGCACAGGCCAAGGCACAGATGCATGCGTTAGCCTGGAGTGAAGGGAGTGTGTGCCTGGGGGGGGGGGTGTGCAGCCCCCCAGCCGGGAGGGAGGGTGGGCCCAGAGGAAGGGGTGTCGTCACTGAAGGAAGGAGCCCAGGGCCCATGGGGCTCTAGACAGGGAGCCAGGGCGGCTGCTGAGCCGAGGGGGGCTGGCCCTCGGGGAGGGTGGGTCCCTGGTTCCTAGCAGGCATGGTGATCAGCTTGCGGTAGAGAAAGGGTTCGCCAGGGCTGGGATGGGCTGACTCCACACGGACTCCAGAGGCCCAGTGCCACACCGAGATCCCCAGGTTGGCTCCAGGTTCCACAGGCCATGGTGGGGCAGAACCTGAGACTGCAAGCTCCCTTAGGGGGTTCTGCACAGGACGCCCCACACAGGCCTCTGGCTGTGGAGACCGCCGCTTTGTTCCCTGGCCCCTGCAGTGTCCCCTGGGTCCTCACTGCGCTCCGGGCCCTGGGATGGGCATACTTCTCCATTCTCCAGGCCCAGCCCCACTGCCTCCCAGTCCCCACTGACCTTCCCCTGGCAGCACCCTGGGGTTCTCCCCCTCTCTAGGCTCTCAGCTCCCTGGAGGCCATGCAGACCAGGGACTCCTCGGGCCCACCCTCCTCCCCCACCCGTTAGGCTTCTGTTTTTCTCTTTGCTGACACCGCCTCAGTTGGAGCAGCCAGCCTGGGTCCTGGTCCAGAGTGAGTGCTCTGGAAGAAGGGAGGGAGGACAGGATGGGAGGGAGGAAGGGGAGGGGAGGGGGAAGGAGAGAAAAGGGGAAGGGGAGAGGAGGGGCAAGGAGGGAGCTCCCACTGAGCCTTCTTATGCTGGGGCCATCCAGGCTAACAGTCCCAGCGAGCATGCCCAAGGCCAGCTAGGACCTCATCTGCCCTGGGGCTGGGACGGGGGCATGGGGCCGCGCTGGGCTGCTCTCGGACCAGCATGGAGGCCTGTTCCCTCTGCCTGTTTCTTCAGCCTTCAGATGGACAGAGGACCACTTCTGCAAGGCTGTAGAGATCCCCAGCGGCCCAGACCATGACTGTCCAGCCTGGCTAAGGCTCTTTGGGTCCCTGCACCCGTGGGATGCCAGACAAACCCAGACCGAGCAACAAGAGCTGAATGAAGGGATTTTGCTGAACTGGGGATCAAGTTGTCATGGGGGGAGGTCACGTGCCAGGCTCCTGGGGAGGGTGCTGCCTCCCTGGTCACTGTGAAGGCTCCTGCAGGAAGCCCTGATGCTCCCCTGGTTACCGGGGCCCACAGGTCGGAGCCCTAAACACAGAGCAGGAAGTGCCCCAACCCGTGCTCCAACCAGGCCCCGTGAGAACTGTAAGCAGGGTCCGTGCTGCTCAGGAAACAGCAGGTCGGGCGCCTCCTTCTCCTGGTTGCTGGTAACACGGGTTTTTCCACCTTCCTGGGACACGAGTAGCTCCGCTGTACAGTTGTCTCTGGCTCAGCTGGGTCTGGCCCCTTTGCCTGCTTCGTGACCTGCATTTATTCTACCCACCTGTGACGTCGCAAACAGAGAAGGCTCTGCAAACAAACGTGCCCTCGGTTACATGAGAGAACGTCAAACCTCAGGGCCCTTGGGAATGGAGAAGCACAGGGAATACTACTTCTAAAAGGATCAGGAAGGAACATGTCCTCAGTGCGTGTGTGTGTGTGCACGCATGTGCGTGAGCGTGTGTGTGTGTGCATGCGTGAGCGCTCGTGTGTGTCTATACGCACGGGGCAATACTTTCTAAACTGAGCCTTTCCCTTAGCTCAGCAAATGATGGCCGCCGGGCCAAATTTGGCCCACCATTTGTTTTTATAAATAAAGTTTTATTGGCATGCAACAACCCCACTGTAGCCCCTTTTGCACTACGACAGCAAGATTGAGGAGCTGTGACACAGCCTATAAAGCCTGCCAAGCCAGAAATAGTTGCTCTCTGGCCCTTTAAGAAAAACTCTGGGGCCCCCTGGGTCCGGCAGGATGCATTTGGCTAGGGCTGGGCACCTGACGGCTGAGAGGAGCTGGAGGGCTGGGAGGGCAGAGGGCAACATGCCAAGCTCTATTTTTCATTGACTGGACTCTGGAGGCTCCTCCCCCCAGCAAGGGTTCAACACCCTGGCTGTCAGGCCTTGACATGCGGGAGAAGCGTCAATAAGGGGTCAGGTCACAACAACGGCAAACAAGGGAAGGCCGAGGGGGTAGCGGGAGCCCATCGACCGGCCTTGCCTCCGGACACCAGCACAAGGCCCCCTGGGAAATGTTCCGAGCGCTGGCCAGGGCCAGTGCGGCCCTGGGGCCCCAGGCGGCAGGCTGGGTGCGGAACATGGCCTCCCACCAGCTGCTGGTGGCCCCCCCGAAGGCCCTGCTGAAACCCCTGTCCATCCCTAACCGGCTTCTGCTGGGGCCTGGCCCTTCTAACCTGGCTCCACGCATCCTGGTGGCCGGAGGGCTGCAGATGATCGGGCACATGCACAAGGAGATGTTCCAGGTAGGCCTTCCAGGTGGTGGCAGTGGGTGAGCCTCCTCCTCAGCTGGGAGACGGCAGGGGGAGCAGGGCCTGACCTGTGTGCCCTCTGCCCCCAGATAATGGATGAGATCAAGCAAGGCATCCAGTACGTGTTCCAGACCAAGAACCCCCTCACGCTGGCCATCAGCGGCTCAGGGCACTGCGCCCTGGAGGCCGCCCTCTTCAACCTCCTGGAGCCAGGGGACTCCTTCCTGGTCGGGGCCAACGGCATCTGGGGGCAGCGGGCCGCGGACATCGGGGAGCGCATCGGTAAGACATGGGGCAGAGGGTGGGGTGTGGGCCCTCTCGTCACCCTTCCCCACGGCCTCCTGCCTGCCCCCCAGGTGAGGCCGGCAGACCCACCCCACACACCCCAGGAGTGCCCATCCCCCTTCACGCCCCCACCTCCCTGCCGGGTCAGCTGCTGCCTTCTCCAAGGGGGCATCAGGGTGCTCGAGAGACGCCCACCTCCCAGGACCCCAGAGCTGAGGACAGCGGTTTCCGGAGCACATGGGGAGACAGGGCCGCGGGGAACCTACAGATTTCAGCACCAACCCGAGAGCCCCCATGTCTCTCCTGGGGCCCCAGGCATCACCTCTGCCCTGTGACAGGACAGGGTTTCAGAGGCTGAAGCCCCCTCCCAGTATCTCAGAAACAGCCCTCTTTCTGGAGATGCAAAATACAGAGACACAGACAGGGTTTTCACTCTCAGAGTAAACTTTTCTGAAGAGAGACAAGAATCAAAAGCAGGAGTGTGCCGTGGGTTTAATGATTCATCTCAGCATTTGGAAACATCTCAAAGCTCCTGCATGGTCAGCTCCACACATGGCCGCACTCAGTCCTGGTTAATGGACAACCCCCAGTGGCCCAAGGAGGTCCCCATCTCTCACCTCGTCCCCCTGAGTCCACACACTGGTTTTCAAAGGGAGGTGGCGTGGGGGCAGAAGTCAGGCCCCGCTGGGCCCCAGGCACCCCCGCTCCAGAGGCTCCGCCCCCAGTCCGCATCCTGACCTTGGGCTCCCCCCTGGAGCTTGGGTGGTCCTCCGGCCTCCTCCTGCCTACGTACAGCTTTGGGGGTCAGCTGTGCAAGGGGCCGCCGGGAGTGGGCAAAGGGGTCCGAGAGAGAGAGCAGGGGCCTGCCTTCCTGGAGCCTCCACTCACCCTATTCCTCCTCCACTCAGTCTGTTGCTGGGAAGGCACAGGTCCAGCCAGCCTTGTGCAAATGCTTGTTCACCTCCCGGCTGAGGATCCTGGCTGGCGGAGGTTCACCCAAGGAAGGGGCAGTGTAGCTGAGCCTGAACGTTCTCATCCCAAGCACCCCAGAAACCTCAACTCACAAAGAACAGCCTCACTGAGCACACCCCACCTTCCTCTTCCCTCTGGCTTCTTTGGGCTGGGATGGGCGGGTACCTGCCCTCACAGGGCCTGCCTGCTCAGCACAGACCCCCGTCTCCAACACTGGGGAGGAGGGCGCTCACCCCTCACTCTGCCCCTGCCCTCAGGAGCCCAAGTGCACCCAATGATCAAGGACCCTGGAGGCCACTACACACTGCAGGATGTGGAAGAGGTAGGGTGGGGTGCGTTGGCCCTAGGGAGGAGAGGGGGCCAGCCAGCCAAGGGGGCTCAGGGCTAGGAGACCTGGGCTGGCGGCTGACCCTCAGCTCTTCCCAGCACCAGGTGACTGGGCACAGGAGGAGCATTCCAATACCTGAGAGCCGGTGGAAAGCCTGATAGGGAGGGTTCTGCCTGGCAGGGAAACTGAGTCAGGAGCCCAGTCCTGTGGGCTGGGCAAGAGGGGCTAGAGGCAGGATGTGGGGAGCAGGACGTGCCCTGACACTCAGGATGCCCCATCAGGAAACGTCCATCCCAACCAGGCAAGACCTGGGGACTCAGCAGACCTCACCGTAGCCCCAGCAGGACAAGGTGGGAGGCTGGTGCCATTCTTCCTCGGTCTCTGGAAGAAAGTCCTTCTCTTCCTGGACAAGCCCACCTCCCAGAGCCCAGAGGCTGGCACAGCGCACACACACAGACAGGGCATGAGGCTCTTTTCCGCTGCCCAGATCTCTGCCATCCACGGGGAAGAGGAGGGTTTGGGAGGAAGATCCTGCCCTGCCCTCCCCAGGAAAAGTCTTTCTGGACCCAGGGGGAGTCCGAGCCTGCTGGCTCTGCTCACGGCTGTCATGCTGTCCCACGCAGGGCCTGGCCCGGCACAAGCCAGTGTTGCTGTTCCTGACCCAGGGGGAGTCATCCAGCGGCGTGTTGCAGCCCCTCGACGGTTACGGAGCACTCTGCCACAGGTGAGCCTGCCCGGGGCAGGGCGCTGGGGGCGGGGCCAGGCACACCTCAGGGTCCGGCGGGGGACTGGCGGTGCGGGCGAGTCCCTCCAGTCTGGGAGGCAGCCCAGAGACCCAGCCCCCATCCTGATTTCCACCCTCCCCCCGCCTCTGTCACACGGTGTGCGGCTCCTGGGGGTCCTCTGCCCACCTGAGAGCAGGATCAGGTGCTTGGGCGCCCAATCAAGTGCCCACCGTCCTCCAGTCCCCACGGCTGGGAAGGGCTTGAGGCTGACCCAGCTACCAGGGTCCCAGGAGCGGCTGGGGCCTGCCCCCACCTTGTCCTGAGATCCAAGAGCCCCAGAACAGCCTCCTACCTCCACTACCCTCCTCCAGCCTCCCCAACCCTGCATGGAATGGGCAGGACCTTGGGTGTGGTCAGGTGGGACTCCCTCCCGTGACCAGCAGTCCTGCTCTGGAGAGTTGACAGCGGGATGGAAGGAGAGAAGCTCTCCAACCAGGCAGGATCACCCCGGCAGGGCTGCCATCTACCCTGGGGGACAGGGGGGCTGCCTGGCACCGTCCCAGCCAGGACAGCCCGTCCCCTGGGGTCTTGTCTAGTAAACCAGGCCTGGGCTGTGACCCCCAGGGCACCCACCTGCCCCTCTGTGCCGAGCGTGGGATATGCTTTATGCCTTTAAAAAATTTTATTTAAGTAATCTCTATGCCCACCGTGGGGCTAAACTCACAACCCTGAGATCAAGAGTCGCACGCTCTACCAGCTGAGCTGGCCAGGTGGCCCCGTGGCTTTTTTTTTTTTCCCCCTAAGAAAACATGGAGATGGAGGAGAGTCAAAGCTTTCAGCTGGGGCTGTTCCTGGACTCTGTCCTCCCTGGGCTCTGCATGTACAGTCAGCACACTGCTGGCAGAAGGAAGGCCCAGCCTCGTGGGCTCTGGTCCCTGGGCCCCACTCAGAGCCCTAGCCCGCCCCAGGACCACAGACCGGCGGGGCAGGCCCTCATGCACACCTGTGCGGGGGGTATCCTGTGCACAGGCCGGCCGGGCCCGCATGGACACTTGCTCTGCCCCTCTGCTCACCCCGGTGCCCACACAGAGCTGGTCCTAGGGGTCTGGGCATCTAGGAGGACGTACCCTGGGGGAGGCAGAAGGCTCCCAAGCCTCCCTGCTGGCCTTCTGGAGGTCCTCGTGGCCCCTCCCGGGACTCCAGAGAGTCTGAAACCTCCCGTGCTTCCCCGTACTGCCTTGCACCCCCAGGTACCAGTGCCTTCTCCTGGTGGACTCCGTGGCATCCCTGGGCGGAGTCCCCATCTACATGGACCAGCAAGGTAAGCCACGCCCCATCACCCTGCAGCTGGGGGGCTCGGAGGGTGCGGTTCCATCTGGCAGCGTCTGCAAGCTCACCGTCAGCCCACACAGTGGATTAGGGCCCCAGGGGAAACTTCATCTCCTCCCCGCGGCAGGACAGGATCCACGAGCTAATCGACACGCCAGTGTTTCCGCTGGGTTGTCAGGCCCCGATGTGGGGAGCAAGTGGGGGGAGAAGCTCCTCCAGCATCTGGAGAGGCGCCCAGAGCCCTCAGGCATATGGGTGGGAGAAGTGCCAGGGCCCCTGCCAGTCAGGCTGGGCCTCAGCTTCCCCATCGGCCGGCACCCCACCAGCCTGTCACATGCAGCGAGCACTGTTTGCAGGGTCACCCTGCAGGCCAGCCCAGGGAAGCCTCGCAGGCCCAGCGTTTCCTCACAGAGGAAAGTCCGAATCCACACAGGTGGCATGTGTCCACAGCCGCCCACCCAGCTTGGTCAGGCACGCTTCCCCCAGAACCTCTCTATCAGGGAGCTCCGGGCAGGCAAGGGGGAGGGGGCCCTGGGGACGCAGTGCAGGGTGGCAGGGCTGTCCCCGGGATGCCCACCCTGCGCCTCCTGGGCCAGCCATCCCCACCGTGGGAGAGAAGAGGCTCCAGCCCAGGTCCCAGGAGACAGTGCAGCCCAAGAAGCCAGGGTTGAACCCGGGACACCCTCCGCACTTCTACCCTCCCTGCCAGCCCATCCTTCGCGGAGTCTGCAGACCTCAACCTCAGGTTGGCGAGCTGTAGTCATGTCGTTCGACGTGTCTGTCCGTCAGCGTCCTCTGATTACCTGAACGGACCACAGCTCACGCCTCTCCTGGTGGCGGGCCTTTGGGTTCTTTCCAGGTTTGCGCTTTCAGGAATAAACCATAGAGAGCGTTTCTGTCCATGTAAGCCTTTGGTGTACGTTGGTTCACGATAACCCGGGCCGCAAGGCGGGTGCGACGCTCGGATTTACAGCTACGCGTCGCTGCTGCCTCTGGCATAAAATCCGGTTTTCTCAGAAGTCAGTGGGCTCTTACTCGAGATGTGGCAAGAAAACCTGTTTCCCCCTGTCCCCTCTGCCACCCCCACACGGCCGCTCGCCCCTGACACCACCTGCGTGGGCTTCTCCATACCCCGCCGACCGCAAGCGGGTGGCCTGCAATTTAACTCAATCTCCCCGGACACAGCGTCAGGTTGCAGAGGTTAAGGGCTGAGTCCGACAAGACGGTCGACCTTGCTTCAGACGGCACCTGCAATGATCCCGCCCTGGGTGGAGCTTGGACCCCCAGGAGCATGCGCCTCTCCTCTCCACAGGCATTGACGTCTTGTACTCGGGCTCCCAGAAGGTCCTGAACGCGCCTCCAGGGACTTCGCTCATCTCCTTCAGTGACAAGGCCAAGTGAGTGACCCCCAGGGCCCCCGACCTGGGGCTGGATGGGCAGTGAAGCTGGATGGCCCCTAAGGAGGGAAGATCAGAGCAAGGGAGGGAGGCGCTCCTTGGGCCATGCTTGGACACACCGCTGGACTGCTCACCGCCCACCCTGGACAGGTGCCCGCCCTGGGCAGGTGCGCTAAAGCTCTGAGCTCACAGGCAGGGGCTAGCCGGGGCACGGTGAGGGTCACAGGTGTGAGGCTAGTGGCCTCCAGAAGAGTCTCCTCATGAAGCCTGGGCTTGTGTGTGAGAATGCAGGACCTCGCATCCTGGAAGTTCCCCAGCTTCAAGCCAAGGACTGGGGGTTCCGTGGCCATCCCCCAGGCCCCCACTGCCGGCTCAGTGTCCAGGAGCTGATGCACAAGCTTCTTCATGGGGTTGGTCATGGACTAGCTTTGTCCAGCAGCCCCAGTGTCCCCCACATCCCCAGTGTGCAGACCCTGAGCCGGGCCAGGTAGGGATGGGGGATTGGCCCCAGCAGAGGATTACCATCAGCGGCACTTGGCCGTTTAGCAGCACAGAGACAATCTCAGATGTGGTGGGGGTTGTATGTGGGTGTGGGAAGTCTGAGCTGCCTATGGGAGGGCCATGGAGGTGGCTGGGTCTGAGTATGGAGCTCGGAGCTCAGGTAGAGGCCCTGTCTGTTCACACTGATCTGGACAATAGGTGTATTTAAAGTTTCCAGACTAGCTGCATTACCGGGGGCCTGAGAGCAGACGAGCCGAGGTCCCCACTGTGCCTGGCCCAGGAAGGTGCAGGGGCTGGGGAGGCACACAGTCCGCCTGGGGCTTAGCACAACCACAGGGGTCCAGGGGGGCCTGCCCCTCTGGCTCACTTCTGCGAACCAGGAGGCCTGACGGGACTGCCCCTAGCCGCCCCAGCCAGACAGGCAGGCACTCAGGCTGGTCCTTCCTTCCCAGAAATAAGATCTACAGTCGGAAGACGAAGCCGGTCTCCTTCTATCTGGACATGAAGTGGCTGGCCAACATCTGGGGCTGCGACGACCAACCCAGGATGTGAGGACCGCAGGGCCGGGGCCGCGTCTTGTGACCTCTCACCACCCCAGCCTCTCACCAGTTGTACACACTGGGTTCTAAGCCCATAGCCCAGCTGGAGCCCCAGGATTCACCAGGGTCAGGCCAGCGATGCCCCCGGGCCTGGGGGCTCAGATCCAGTAGCACAGCCCCCACCACCCTCCCACCGGGCCCTCTCCTCTCAGAGTCCCTGTGCACCTCTGGGCACATTGGGCCTGGCCCAGTCACATCTCCCCATTCCTGGGTCTCAGTTTACCCACCTCTCAAAAAGAGGAGCTGAGCCAGGGGCTCCTTGTGAGGTGACCTTAGCTACAACCCAAGATCCCTTATGGCACACGCGGGGCTGAGGGGCACCAGGAACTGTGCCCTACTCAGCAGGAACAGTGGCTTCTTGGGGCCACTGGGGCTAAGAGAGGCCAGGTAGAGGGGAGCCCGCCCTAGGCGATCTGGCCAGTGTCCTCGCTCTGAGCCTTGCTCTCCCCAGACCCAGCTGCTTCTCTAGCCCGGAGTCTGTCATGCCCAGAACTGGACAGCGGCCCCCTGGGAAGTGGGCTAGACCCGTTGTCAGAGAGCCTGGCCCACCCCCCACCCAGGGACGCTGGACCAAGCCCCGTCCTGTCTTCCAGATACCATCACACCACCCCGGTCATCAGCCTGTACAGCCTGAGAGAGAGCCTGGCCCTCATGGCGGAACAGGTGAGGGAGGCGGGGCAGGGGCCGGACCCCAAGGGCAGCAGCTCCCAGGAGCCCCTGGGCTGAGGCCGGCCGCCCCGGGGAGGGCCCTCCTCCGGACTCCCTCAAGCCCTTCTGAGGAAACAGATGACGGGAGGGATTCCTGCCAACAAGGAAGAGTGGAATGAACGGTGTAGGCGAGAGAGGAGCACTGCAGGACAGTGGCCCTGAGCTGGAGAGGGCGGGCTCCATGCGGGAGTGCAGGGAGAGGGGTGGGAGGGCTGGCTGCAAGGGAGGGGGCTGAGGAGGACAGAGCCCGGGGGTCAATGCGGTGATGGGGCAGGTGTGGGCCGTCATCTGAACCCTGGGCTGCTTAGTGAGGTGCTCAGTGAGGGCCCGGCTGAGCGTGAGGGGGTTTGAGGGACTGGCTGGTGGTCCTGAGTGTCAGGCTGGCCTCCAGCCAAGGGCAGGCAGGAGCCAAGCAGGGGCGGGGGCGTGTGACCGAGGGGGGGGTCTGTCCAGTGCCGCGACCACACTCTCAGGACACGGGGGGCCGAGCGCGGCCCCGGGCATGCTGGCTCTGCAGGGACACAGGACGGGAGACTGCCCCAGCACAGTGGACTTTCTCAGCCCGATGTCTCCTAGGGGCCACTGCCGGCCACCAGCCCAGAGGCCGGGGGAGCCCCTGGGCTGTGGCCGGCCTCCCTGAGGCCGCAGGGCTGTGCTGGCTGTTTGCTCTTCTGTGTCCGCTCGCAGAGCCGCCGCCCCAGTGCTGGGCCGGGAGGAGCTGAGGGGCCCTGGGAGCTGGGTGGTCACCAGGCTGGTGTGGGCTCAGGGCAGGGGGGCGGTGTGGCTGAGAGAGGGTGAGGCCCATGGACTAGGGATGGGGGGGTCCATGTGCTGGGAAGACAGGAGACAGTGGGTAGCTCAGAAGCCCCTTCCCCACCTGCAGCAAGGTGCTCCCACCTCACGTTGTCCAGGGGCTGCAGGGCTCCATCCACTGGCTGGGCCCCCCACGTACCCCCAGACCCAGACCATTTCCACTGCCCCGAGGTGGCTCCAGGTCTGGTCGCTGGGGCAGAGCCAGGGCCCTGAGCTGGGGACTCGGGGGGTCTCTATGGGGATCAGAGTCCAGGCCGGGAGAGGAGCCCAGGAGCCCCTCTGTGGCCTGAAGCTGCCACCCCCCATGGATGAGGGCGTTTCTCCGTCTCTCACGACCGATGGAGGCGCCAACCCTGCCCTCCCCTGTCGCACCCACCGGGTGCCCTCTGCCCTCCCAGGGCCTGGAGAACAGCTGGAGACAGCACCGGGAGGCCACGGCGTACCTGCAGGAGCGCCTGCAGGGGCTGGGCCTGCAGCTCTTCGTGAAGGACCCAGTAAGGAGAGTGGGGGCGGGGGCGGGGGGCAGAGAGGGAGAGCGTGGGGGGGAGGGGAGAGCTTCTGCCCAGCCCCCTCTGAATGGACACAGGGTCCTGTTCCTGACCTCCGGATCTGAGGACACTTAGTTTGACGCCCCTGCTCTCCCCCAAAGCCTCCCCACTTAAAGTAGTTATGGGTGACCTCTGAGCCGAAGACGCCCATCAGCCTCAGAGCCCTGGCAGTCCCGCCAGGCGGGGGTGGAGGGTGGGAGGGTCCCCAGAACCAGCCAGTCAGCCCAAGTTTCGGTAGGAAACAGAAGCTCCGTAGCCCCAGGGAGGTGTGACCCGCCCCAGGGAACAGACGCACAGACACACCCAGTGCGCATGGGCTGCTGGGGAGGTGGTGACCTCACTGTCCTTGGGCCCCTGCTTCCCCACTCCCTGCCCACCCCTGTCTCTGCCCGCCCCTCTGGAGCCTGAGACCAGGGCTGGCCGGGCCAGGTCAGCTGGTGCTGGCCACACACCGTGGTGAAGGTGGCTGAGTCAGGCGCGTCCTGCAGGCGATCCGACTGCCCACCGTCACCACGGTGGCCGCTCCCACTGGCTACAACTGGAGAGACATCGTCACCTACGTCATGGACAATTTTGACATTGAGATCACGGGTGGCCTTGGGCCCTCACTGGGGAAGGTAAGGGGACAGCGGCCGCTCGGCGTGGCCGGGCCAGGGACTGGCCACACCTACCACAGAAGCTACATTCACCACCCCACGGGGAGCACTGTGTGCCCAGGCCCCGGCCGAGGTCGGGGGCCATCAGGTCCCTGGGGCAGCAGGGGCATCCAGACAGAAACATCCTGCTCCGAGCCCAGGGGTTTGTGTGGGGGGTGGGATCTGGGTAAAGGGAACGCTCCTGCCCCCTTCACCCCAGCTTGGTGACGCCATGGGGTGCAGCCCCCCCAGCCCCCCCAGAATGGCCTTCCTCCCCTGAGAGTGGGCAGACCAGGCTGGAGACCCCGTGCCGGGGTCTGGTTGTGCCCGCCGAGCGGGTGATTCTGAGCGCTCATTAGCTGACTGTCATCCTGGCCGCCCTTCTTGAGCTCTGTGCGTGCTCGGCCTGGGTCCAGGTGGGGGGCTCCCTGTGTGCCTGGGGAGGGGGCCCACGCTGCAGAGCCCGCGTGCTCTGCCCAGACCCAGGGCCGGGTCGACATCTGCACGGGACCCCCCACCCCCCGCAGGTGCTTCGGATCGGCCTGCTGGGCTGCAACGCCACCCGGGAGAATGTGGACCGAGTGATCCACGCCCTGCAGGAGGCCCTGCAACACTGCCCCCGGAGCAAGCTGTGATTGGCAGCCTGTGGCCCACCCTCCCGGAGGGGCCTGGAGGGGGACCAGGAGCAAACAGACTCTGCGGACAGTCGGGCCCCAGGGGGCGAGGCACGCAGGAGGGGCAGGACCGGCAGCTGCCCCAGCCCCAGGACGTCCTTCTCCTCTTTGAGAGGCATCTCCCGGAAATGGACCATGTGGGCTCAGGACCCATGGCACCTCCCCAATGAGCCGCAGCCCCTGCAGGTCCCTGGCCTGCCCGGAATACCCAATAAAGAATCGTTTGTCATCTGTCCTCATTGTGTGTAGGGTGGGCTGCAGAATCGTCCGGCAGGGAGGGACCACTGCCCCGATGGCTCCTTGGTTGGGGGTTGCTTGGGGGCAGATCCTTGCCTGGGGCACCCCCCCGGGACTGTTAGACAGGTGTGTGGGGGTCTTGTCACCGTACACCTTGGCCCCAGATCTCACCCCTGCAAAGAACACCCACACACATGCCTCCAGGGCAACCTCCACAGTCTCCCGGGCTGACTCGTGACTCGAGTCACCGATGTGAAGGCCCCAACATGCCCCAGGCACACAGCCAGGATTGGAGCCGGGATGGCTGAAGGTCACAACACAGGTGTGCAGGCCAGCGCAGGGGCCTCAGATGGACAGCCGAGGGTGGCCCCGGGCCCCAGCCCCTGCCCTTCTCCACTTGGCATCCTCTGACCCTCTGTCCCTTAACTGCCCCTCACTTGGGTTCCTGCCTGTGCCAGGCTCCCTCCCTCCTCCTTCCTAGGAGCTTCAGAACAGGCCAGCCTGGGAGTCACAGGCACAGCCACACTCCGGGTCCTCACCCGTCCTAAGAGCCCCAGGAGGGGGCCAGGCAGGGCCTCCCCCAGGTTGAGGTGGGCACCTGCAGCCCAGCGGGCCCCGTGTCTTTGTGCAGGGCCCGGGCTGGCCTGGCTCGGCCCCCGCCACTCAGGCAAGTGCTGGCCAGGCACAGTTGTGTGCGATGGGGGAGGGCCCTGAGCCGACGGAACACGGTCCGGCATGTGCTTACCGCCACCAGGAGGGACGCGCGCAGGAGCGGAGAGGGCCCGAGGGTCGGAAATCCACAAGTCGAAGGTGGGCGGAGGGAGTCGCTCCCAGAGAAGGCCAAACAGGACCCCACGGGCCGCCTTCGTCCTGACAGCAGCCCTGTCCTGGTTGGCTCTTCCCTGAGCAGACACGGGGATGAGAACCCAGCGGCAGGTCCCCCGTGCCCCCAGCCAGGCAACGCCCCCCGTCCGATTTGATCCCCGCGGACCAGCCCTGCAGGTGTTTGCGTGTCATATCGAGGGAATCACACGGCACATGCTCTCGTGTATCTGCTGCTTTCGCTTGGTGCTCTGACAGTCACGCGTGTTGCATGGGACACGGGGACACGCTTCGTCTCCCTTGCTGGTGCGGTTCCATGGTCTGGCGTCTGTTTATCACCTGCTTTAACGGACCTCTGGGGCTATGATGAAGAAGGTTGTGATGACTGCTCTCACAGGTGTGCACGGCGCCGGGGCGTCCTGGGGCCGTACGGTAGGCCCAGCTCTAGCTCTGCAAGATGCCACAGAGCTCCGCGCGGTCTGGAGCACTTGAGATCCTCACCGGACGCACCCGTAAGCCCCACCGGTATCTGGCGGTGTCTGCTTTTCTAGTGGGGGCGAAATCATATCGCATCTGGTTTTAACTTGCATTTCTCCGATTACTCATGATATGGACCATCTTTTCAGGTGTGGACGGGCCATCCATAGATCTTCTTTTCTGACTTGTCAGCTTAAGTATTTTGCTCATGTTATTTGATTTTCATCTTTTTATTGTTAATTTATGGCCGTTATTTTATAGGTTCCAGGTCCTGCTGGGTGTGTGATGAGTATTATCCCCTACTCCCCGGCTTACCTATTCATTTTTTTAATCATGTCTTCCAAAGAGCAGGTCTTTTCCCTTTGTGAGTTCCAATTTATGTGTCTTCTCTTGTGGTCTGTGCCGTCGGTAACCTCTCGGGACATCTTTGATGATGTGGAGGTTCCAAAGATCTCTTCCTGTGCTTTCTTCTGGAAACTTTATGGTGTCAGCTTTTGTGTTGAGGTTCAGAACGCACTTTATATTAATTTTGTGCATGGCGTGGGAAAGGGACAGGGTTCGCTTTTATCCACACAGACAGCCCGTGTTCTAGCAACGATTGTTAAACAGACATTCCTGAGCCCACCTGACGGACGTGGCCCCTTGCCCTTGATCGTCCTTGCAGGCCCGCTCAGGCCTCTCCCTCCCGGGGCACTGCCTCCGCCCAGCCCCAGATTGCCACCCACACCACCGCTTCATGGCGAGTCTTGAAAGCAAGTCATGCCAGTCTTCCGATTCTGCTCTCCCTTTTAAAGATTGTTTTTCTTATCCTTAGATCCCTTGAATTTCCATGGAAATTTAGAATCATCTTGTCTATCTCTTCAGAACAGCTCATCAGAATTTTGATAGGAATTGCAATAAATCTATGCATCAAGTTAAGGACACTGGAAATCACCAAAATATAAATTCCTATTCATGAATGTTAATTTGGGTCTTTTAAATCATATTCAGCAATGTTTTAGTGCAGAGGACTTACATACCTTTCATTACATATACTCCTGGGTCTTTGACAGTTTTGACCCTGTTGTAAATTGTATTTTAAAAATCTCATTTCCAATTGTTTATTCTTAATGTATACAAGTACAGTGAACTTTTCTCTGTTCAGCTGTCTTCTAACCTTGCCAAATTCACAAAGTCTAGCAGTTGCTTTGTGGATTCCTTGGGGTTTTCTATGTAGATATGTAATTTGTCTGTGAATATGACAGTCTCACTTCTTTTCCAGTCTTCGTGCCTTCTACTTATTTTTCCTGCCTCTGTGATACTTGGCTCGTGATGGGCAGCTCAGGTCCTGTGGCCACCGAGGGTCCCGTGGTCAGGGGCTCCTTCCCCACTGCGGCCCAGTTTCATGACAGATGTTCGGAAAGGTGAGTGGTTCTCTGCTGCAGATGGAGCAGGCTTGCATGTCGGGGTTTTCGAACACGGGGTCTATGTGGTGTCCCCCTCTCCCAGGGCTACTGTCAGAGTTGTACGGTAGCACGAACCTACCAAAGAACCCGCCTGCACTCTGGCCCCACTCAGAACTAACAGGCTCTGAGCCACCCGATGCACGGACATTCCAAGTGAGGTGGGTGCCATCTGCCAAAGCCAGCAGGCCCTTATTCATCACAGTAGGTGAGCACGGTATAAAAATTCCTGCTATTCCTTAGAAGCAATGTCTTGGCATGCCCAGACCACTGAGCCTCTCAAACCTTCAGCTACAGCACAGACCCTGAGACGGTGACATTTGTCTCCCACCCTTTGGAATAAAAGTGTCTTACGAGGCATCCAAAGCACTTGCCAGTCAATGCTCCTCAGGTCTTATCAGCATGATGTCATCAATATCGTGAGCCAGCAAGATACTCGGCAGGACCCATCCAGGTGATGAAGGCCCATGAAGCCTATATCGTGACCAGAGCCAGCGGGTCAACCTCAGCCTGGGGCAAGACCATGACCTCACGTCGTTGCCTCTTCCAAGTGAACACAAATTGTTTCTAACTCCCTCTCCCATGGGGCTTGGAAGGCATGCATTCTGCAGATCGGCTGCCATGTTGCGCCGTCCACGGCCTGTGCCATCCTCTTCCACTAAGTCTGTAACACCCAGCAGAGCACCTTGGTGACAGGCTGCAACTTGGTTCAGTTTCTGGGATCTGCTGTCATTCACCACGACCCCATTGATTCAAAACATTTTAAATGTATTTTATTTTTGAAGACTTTATTTTTGGAGACAGTTTTAGATACCTAGCAAAATTGAGAGGAAGGCATAGAGATCTCCCATAGACCCCCCTGCCCCCACACATGCACAGCCTCCCCCGTGACCAACATCCCTCAGCAGACGGTACATGTGTTATAACTGATGAACCCACATCGACACATCATCATCACCCCAAATCCATCGTTCACATTAGGGCTCACTCTTGGTGTCATGCACTCTACGGGTTTGGACAAATGTGTAATGACATGTATCCATCCGTATGGTATCATGCGGAGTATTTCCAAAATTCCTCCGTGCTTCACCTGTTCGCCCCTCCCTCCTCACCCCTGGCAACTACTGTCTCTGTAATTTTGTCTTTTCCAGAATGTCAGAGTTGGAATTCTACAGAATGTCGCCTTCTCAAATTGGCTTCTTTCACTTAGTAATAAGCATTTGAGCACCTCCACGTCTTTTCCTGGGTCGACAGCACGTTTCTTTTTAGCGCTGAATAATATCCCAGTGTCTGGATGGACCAGTTCATTTAATCCATTCACCTACTGAGGGACATCTTAGCTGCTTCCAAGCTTGCATGATTATTTATTAATATAGTGGCTATAAATATTCATTGCAGGTTTTGTGCAAACATGAGTTTTCAGCTCCTTTGGGTAAATACCAAGGAATGCAACTGCTGGATCACATGGTAAAAGTGAGTTTAGTTTTGTGAGAAACCATCAGACTGCCTTCCAAGTGGCTGCCATTTTGCATTCCCACCAGCAGTGAACGAGAGTTCCGGCTGCCCCACACCCTTGTCAGCATTTGATGTCGTCAGTGCTCCAGACTGTGACCACTGTCAGCCTGTAGAGGTTTCTCGTTGTCGTTTTCGTTTGCATGTCCCTGATGACATATGATGTGGAGCATCTTTTCATGTGCTTCTTTGCCATCTGTGTATCTTCTTTGGCAAGGTGTGTGATAAGATCTTTGGCCCATTTTTAAATCAGGTTGTTTGCTTTCTTGTTGTGTTTAAAATTTTTTTTTTAAATATATACTCTGGATAGCAATCATTTGTCAGATGTGTCTCTTGCAAATATTTTCTCCCAGTCTGTGGCTTGTCTTACTCCCTTGACATCATCTTTCGGAGAGCAGGAGATTTTAATTTCAGTGAAGTTCAGCTGACTGATTCTTTCTCTCATGGACCCTGCCTCTGGTGTTGTAGCTAAAACGTCATCACCACACCCAAGGTCATCTAAGTGTTCTCCTATGTTATCTTCCAGGAGTTTTATAGTTTTTTGCTTTACATTTATGTCTATGATCCATTTTCAGTTAATCTTTGAGAAGGGTGTACGGTCTGTGTCTAGATTCATTGTTTTGCATGTACATGTCTGGTTCTTCCGGTGCTATTTGTTGCAAAGACTATTTTTGCCCCATTGTATTGCCGTTGCTCCTTTGTCAAAGATCAATTGGTTATATTTGTATGGGTCTATTCCACTGATCTATTTGTCTGTTGTTTTACTAATATGACACTGTCACGATGACTGTAGCTTTATAGGAAGTCTTGAAGTTGGGTACTGTCAGTCCTCCAACTTTGTTCTCCTCCTTCAGTATCATGTTGGCTATTCTGAGAGCGTCTTTTGTCTCTCTCTATAACTTTAGAATCAGTTTGTCAATATCAACAAAATAGCTTGCTGGAATTGGGATTGCATTGAACATAGAGGGCAAATTGGGAAGAACTAACATCTTGACATATCCGTGAACATGGAATATCCACTTATTTACCTCTTCTTTGATTTTGTTCATCAGAGTTTTGTAGTTTTCCTCAGATAGATATTTTACATATTTTGTTCGATTATACCTAAGTATCTCATTTTTGATTCATCTGATTTTTGCTAAGATCATACTGGTGCATTAGGGTCTTGAGGGGTGATGCTAAGTTCTGTTATTGCCCCTGGGATACAGTATGTTTTGCTAGACTATTTTGGCCATGAGAAAAGAAGTGCTTTTGAAGTCTTCCCCATGGCCTTTCTTACCATTAAGGCTCTTACTCCTGCTAAGAACAGATGTCCTGATACATACTCAGATACTGAGGAAATGATCACAGGATAGGCCTGGACACTTTGTACCCACTGTGAATCAGATTGGACCAAGGTTCTGTGTTCTGCAAGCCTCCACCCTAATGGCATTTTGTGTCCCCCTGTGTTAGGGTCAGCTCAGGCCCTGAATCCCATAGCCTTCCAAGGATCTTGCATTTCCACTCCTCTGTGTGTGGCTATTCTGGCCTGTGGCCATAGGAAACTTTGAGGAGGTTGGGGAAGATGCTGCTATGTGCACTTGCCATGGGATTTCAGGCCCCTTTCCAGGAGCCAGGGTGTGGGCTGCAGCTCAGAAGCTGAGGAATGAATGTCACTGAGAGGCAAAGAGGGTGGAAAGAAGAAAATGTCTCCCAGGCTGGGCCACATGAAGGTCACTGGGCCTCTCACGTGAGAGCTCAGTGGGGAAGGGGCTGTAGGCTGGCTGTCATGGACTGATGAGAGAATGTGGAATGGGGAAATGGAGCAGTGAGGACAGATGGAGGGGTGGTGTCAGATGCCGGGAGACGCCACCCTACACAGGAGATTTTAATTTCAGTGAAGTTCAGCTGACTGATTCTTTCTCTCATGGACCGTGCCTCTGGTGTTGTAGCTAAAACGTCATCACCACACCCAAGGTCATCTAAGTGTTCTCCTACGTTATCTTCCAGTTTTACAGTTTTTTGCTTTACATTTATGTCTATGATCCATTTTCAGTTAATCTTTGAGAAGGGTGTACGGTCTGTGTCTAGATTCATCGTCACCACCACGGTGACAGGACCCGAAATGGGTTGGCAGAGGGAGCTGCAGGTGTCCCCTCTGTCAGCTTCAGTTTCCTCTATGAACTAGAAGGTGGGGACACTTGGGGAAGAGGGTGGTCATTTGCCGGGAATGGAGAAAGTTGGAAATTGTCTGCACACTAGCTTCTTTTACTTCTACGTTTCCCTGGGAAATATTCTCCACGTAGATATACAGAAAGTGGTAGGTACCATCCCCGCTATGTATATCCAGTGTTAATTTACTCAAGGTCTGATATATAGTATTTCATTGCCACAGAGTAGCATGTGACACAGGTCGGGACAAGCCGTTGAGCTCCAGGTCTCATGCAGACGCCTGGTTTTGAGAGTCTGATGACATCACACAGAATGGATCAATGCACATCTGGTGAAACCCAAGGCACCTTCATCCCAGGCCCTCGGGGGATCAGGCAGCTACTCCCGGAGGCCTGCTGCCCAGCATGCTCAGACTCCCATGAGGCCATCCCTGGACAGTCTGAGGTGGTCCCTGTGGACATGTCTACCACCCACCACCTGCCGCAAGGTGAAGCCCATTCTCTTCTCCAAATGGCCTCCGTGGGGCCTTGTAGCCAGGCCTCAGGCAGTCAAGACTGAGAGTCAGGGGAAGGCAGCTCAGCATTCCTCACTGTCCAGAGTCTTGGTCTTCCAGAAGATGCTCTGCATGGCTGAGATCCGGTTCTTATCCTGGATGTTGAAGACCTGGAACTGCAGATGGGGTGGGGCACAGAGGGGTCACGGAGCTGTCTGGGGGCCATCACAGGGCCCTGGACACAGTGTGGGACAACACATGCCCCTTGACTGCCAGCACTTCCTGCCTCTGGGTCTCTGCCTGAACAGTCCTCCCCAAGTGTGGACTCACCCAGAGCCCTCTCCGCCAGGGGCCCTTCTTCACACGCAGGTATCCTCCCCAGATGGGCCTGACACAGAGGAGGCCCACCAGGTGCTTGGGGAGGGCTGAGCATGCATCACCCCTCTTGCTTTCATCCTTCCAGCCCCCATGTGCCCCGGAAGGAGACCGTGTTGGCTCTTCAGGTGAGGGTGGGGGCCGGCCCTGGGGGAAAGGAGCAGGAGTGGGCTCGGTGGGAGCAGGGAAGGGGAGGGCTTAACAGAGCTAGCAGAACCTTGGTGGCTCAAGGAGGGCCAGTTGGCAGAGCAGTCCAGGGATGCATCAGGAAACTGTCCCTGTGAGGCCCAGGGACAGCCACACCCCTTCATGAGGAACGGAGTCCCAGGGTAGGCAGGTGGGGTTTGAGCCCTTGCCGTGTGTGGCTTTGGGGGCGGTTCTGGTGGGTAACGGAGGCTGGCTCAGACCTGCTACCCTGGCTTCCCGGGTCACTAGCAGGCAGGGGGCACTCGTGGCCTATCTGACCTCCAGATGTCCCACCTTCCTTCAGCTCCTGACCCTGGGGGAGTAGGTCAGGCTCTGTCCCCACCTGCATGCCCGCCTGGGCCCGACTGAGATGCCCCTCAGCCTGCCATGCCCACCTTGTCCAGCAGGACGTCAAAGTAGGCGGTGGCCCAGTAGGCCGGGTTGCTGGGGCAGCTGCAGGAGCGCCTTGACCCCGTGGCTGATGCGCGGCGGGGGGCTGCGGCCCAGGTGGGTGACGTGGATGCGCAGGGAGGCCTCCGGCTGGCCGGCAAAGTGCTCCACATGCTGGTACAGGGTGCTGAGGTCCAGGCCGGCGTCCTTAAGCAGCTTCCACTCGGGGTAGAGGAAGATGAGCAGAGAAGACGTGGAAGGGCCCGGGGCTCTGGGCGTGCCTAACGACAGGCTCCGGCTGCCCCGCGAAGGTGGCCACTGGCCCCAGGTCACCAGGCAGTTCTGGGGAGGGACCGGGGCTAGAACTTGTCCCCTCTGAGTGTTGGAAGTCCATCCAGAGGCCGCTCTGAGCAGCCCGGGGCATGTCACTGTCCCTGAGGTGGGCTGACCATCCCCATCCTCTGGCATCATGGCAGACACAAGGACCAGCGGCCACCGTGGGCCTGTCCCTCCCAAGGGAGGCAGGACATTCCGTTTTGGCCCTCAGGCCCTGCCAGGACAACCCAATATCTTTGCTCTGGTCCCCGGGAGGACGCCCTGCTGTCCTGAGCCCCCCACCGGCCAGTGCCTCTTTCTAGTGCTCCCATAGTGCAGGCAGCCCCTGCTGGACGGAAGCCCACATTCGAGGTGCCGCCGGGAGCCCTGCCCCCCAGGGGCTCACCACCCCAGTCACACCAAGAGGGCACCCGGACGAGACACTGAGGCCAGACTCCAGCACAGAGCCTGCTCAGGGCCCAGGACACCAAGTAGCCACCAGACCATACACTGAAACAAAACTGTGCACATCCACGCACACTCCCATGCACACACACTTCCACCTGCACATGCACACACGCACACGCGTGTCCATAATCCTGTATACACACACGCTCACACACACAGTCTTCCCAGTGCCGCGTGACCGGGTGCTGCGCGCAGGGTCGTCTGTAAGGACGGCCGTGCTGAACTGGGACTGACAACAGAAGCACCTGCCCAGACCTGTGGCCGGACCCGCATCCAGCAGGTCAGTGGGAGAACACTGCCCGGCGGGTGTGTCGTTTCTAGCTCTTTCACAAGTAACAGCCAGCACGCCGTGACCAGCAAAGCCATCAGGTGACGTGGAGACGCATGACCCATCCTCTTAGAAGGTTTGGAGCCAGAAAGGACCTCAGAGCAGCATCCCCCAACTTGTGTGCCCTGACGCACACACCGAGGGATCCCAGTCTGTGCGTGCACACACACTGCCGTCACACGTGGGCCCTGACACACACACACTGAGAGGCCAGTCTGCACGCACGCCCTGCCGTCACACGTGGGCCCATGGCCGCTTGGCGGCCACCTGGTGTGATGAGCTCTGGAGCTTGCAGTGCACAAGGGCCGCCACCAGAAGGTCCTTGAGGACGCGCAGGACTTTGCTGGGCACAAGGCGGCCGCAGCACTTGCCGCCACCCTCCGAGGAGACGCTAGACACGTCCTCGGCCGTCCACCGCTCCAGACCGGGCCCCTCCCTGGAGACTCCCAGGCGGCAGGACGCGGGGCCCTCCCCTGCCTCGGCAGCGCCCCCCTCCTCAACCAGGAGGGCCTCGGCATCCACCCACAGGGGCACCTCCATGGCCACTGGGTCCTCCGAGGAGCGCAGAGCGAACTGGAAGGCCTCCAGGTCACGGGAGCAGTCCACGAGGAAGCGGGGGTCCAGCTCATGCACGCGCTCCAGCACCGTGAGCGGCACGTTCTCCGCACGCTGGAAGTCCTGCGCCCGGGGCGCCCCCCTCGAGCGGATGGCCTGCGGGCAGCGGTGCCACAGGGACATCTGCACAGCCATGGCCGGGGCAGGGCTCAGGGCAGCTTGGAGGACGCGCCGAGGCTGGCTGTGCGCACAGGAGGAGGCCCGCGGCTGAGGGCAGGTCCTCAGGTGGGGCCCCGGCTCCCTGCACAGAGAATTCCAGAGCTCGCCACAGGGCCCGCCCTTGAAGTGGGGTGAGTCAGCCACCAACCATGAGGAATGTCACTGGCGGCCTTGGGCAGGGGGCGGGGCCTGGTCACCACCCCGCCTCGGCTCCTCCCTTCTGTCCCATGGCCTCTGCGTCTCAGGCCCAAGGCACACTCAGGCTCAGGACAGCCCTGGAGAAATACCACAGTCAGACCGCTGCGCCTCCCAGGGCCCGGCCACCGCCCGCCGAGCTGTCCCGGAGCTGGGGGGTCTGTTCCTGGCGCCCCCCTTCCCCGTGCAGCGGCCGCAGGGGCTCTGCGGCATGCAGGCCTCCCCACCAGGTCGGGGAGGACACACGGCAGCCCCATTGCTCAGATGACAAAGGTGAGGCCGGGTGGTGGCCTTCCCAGACCCCCGTGTGCGGGCCCCGCTGCAGCTGCCTCTGAGGAGCCTGGAGGGCAGGGTGGGGGGCTGCGCTCCGTCCACAACCTCAGCGTTCCCCTCAGGCACCTGCGCCCGGAGAGCGGGGAGCCTCCCAGGTGGAGGGTCGCCTGCAGCCCGCCTGTGCATCCTGCCTCCTCTCCCTTCAGCGCTGCCCTTCCAAGCCCCAAACCCAGGCCCTCACGCGGCCTGCCCCCCTCCCTTGGGGCCTTCAGCCCGAGGGGAGCCCGCACCCACCTGGGTCTGCAGCTGGAGCGAGCCTGGTTCTAGGGGAAGTCTCCCCAGCTCCTCCTCACGGGGTGGAAAGCCTCGCCCTGCCGGCCCCCTCCAGCACCACACCAGGAGCCCTGCCTGGCCCAGCCTGTCTCCCTGCTCAGGCAGGCAAGTCCCAACCAGCCAGCGGGGAGCCGCCCCCGCTGACCCTTGGCCCTGCTGGGCCGGCCTTGTACGCTGGGAGCCCCCGCCGGAGTGTCTGCAAACAGTGAACTTGGAGACAGTCCCTAATAAGGTATCCTGGAGATGCCACCCTGCAGCCCTCGGGGAGCCCGCACCTCCACCCACGCATGGGCTTCAGACACCCAAAGCGGCAGGCAGAACCTAGATCCAAGGGCACTCACTTCCTTGTGCTTGGAAGCCCCAGGAACTGGGTCTCTCGTTTTACACCTCCCAGGACGGGGAACTCACTACCTCACAGCACCGTCAAACAAGAGACCGGTTTCCCTCCTCAGACCTGGCCCGATCCTGTCCTCTGGGGTTACCCAGAGCACGTCTGTCCCTCTCCCAGGGCAGCCACTTAGTGTCAAGGACCCTGACGCCCTTGGTCTGCCTCCCACCCCACCCATACCATGTTCTGTTCCCCCCCACACACTCTGCATGGCACTTCCACCTTCATGGGACTCTGTAGGGAGGGGCATTGCTGCAGAGGAGCTGGGTCCCGCTGTCCTGACCCCGGCCCTGGGTCACGGGGCCCTGTCTGCCTTGGCTCTACCATCTGCGACCCAGTGATGTCATGTTCCTCCAGCTTCCTCGGACCTCAGGGCAATCCTGAATTGGCCCAGGAGGGCAGGCGGCCCCGCTTATCAAAGTGCCCACTCTGGGCACGGCGCAGCAGGGACCTCCGCCGCTCGGGGCAGCCTGCCTGTGTGCACCCCGCCCCGTCATCTGGAGAGCTCTCCCCCTTGGCCCCAGCAGCCCCCTCCTCTGGGACAGTGACTCCGAAGTGCCCAAAGCCAGTCATCCGCTTTCCCCTCCTCTGCTGGTCGGCTCACCCTCGCTATCTCCATCACCGCTCTCTCCTGACACACGTTCCATGTCCCCAGCTCCTCGGGGGCCTAGGCCCTAGGCTCCAGGGCAGCTCTGTGTCTGCCCTTGGACTTCCCACAGACCCCTCACACCTGGTCTCCTTCAAGGGCAGGGCCAGGAGAGAAGACGCAGGTGCTGTCCTGGCCCACTGGGCAGCGCCTGACCACAGGCGAGCCACGGAGTTCAGTGGCCTGTAGACCCTGGGTCGGGGCGGTGGGTGACCGGGGTGGGCGGGGCGTCGGCGCGGTGGGCAGCCAGTGAAGGAGTTTGCTGGCTGGCACACATGCCGATGACCAGCGCATGTTTGTGTAGCTTACACCTCCCGAGAGAGCTCAGGGCAAGTGCACAGATCCTGTGTTTCTGGAGTTCCCGGATGTGCTGGAAAAGAGGGACCTGCACAGCCCGTGAAGTGGACCGTGGGAGTCCGGCGGCAGACCCCACATGGCCTCGGCGTCGTGGGCATCGTCTGGAGGGACCATACTGGGTGGGCGCCGCTCAAAGCCCATGGGCGAGCCTCCTGTGGCTGCTGGGACGGATCACCACGCTCGGGGCACTTAGAACAAGCCTATTCTCTGCTGGTCCTGGGGCCAGAAGTCCCAGATCAGGGCGTGGCAGGGCCCTGCTCCCCCCAGGACCTCCAGCGAGTATCCTTCCTGCCTCTTCCAGGCCCATCTGTGCTGGCGTCCCCCCCGGGGCCCCCTTGGTGTGTCTGTGTCATGTTCTCTGCCTCTGCCTTACAAGGACCCCCGGGGGACAGTTGGGCTCCCGGACACCAGCCCCGGCCAATCCCACCTCACGATCCTCAACCCCGTCTCACCTGGGGCTCACTCTCTACCTGGTAATAGTCACAGGTTTCCGGGCCCGGGAAGTGGCCACGCTTCACGCCCAGCCAGACCGCGTGTTGGAACATCTTCCAGGAGGCCACCACGCAGCTCCTGTGCTCACCAGCCCCCTTGGAGAGCATGGGGCTGCCGCTCAGGCGTCCCAGGCTTTCCTGTCCGGACCACCACCAGACACAGCTCCGGGCCAGCCTCCAGATGTGAAAGCAGACGCTGCCCGAGCTGCCTAGTGTGATCTCCAGAAAGGGTCGGCGAGGTCTGAACCAGCCACGGATGCCTGGGGGGACCCCTCCCTCTATGCCCAGTGGCAGGCCTTTCTCTCCAGGACCTCCTGGTCTCACTCAGCACACATGCCCAGAACACCTGCCGGAAGCTGCTCACGCTCACGGACACACAGAACGGTCAGACCTCAAGAGAAGACATGCCCGGGAGTGCTGTCCGTGAGACTCCGGGCGAGCCGCTGGCCGGCCTGGCCTCAGAGCCTTCGGCAGAGAAACGAGGAATGAGCTCCCAAGACACCGCCACGCTCTGACAGCGACCCACAGCGTCTTGGCCACCAGCGACCCAGAAACCAGCAACCCTTTCCGCATGCTGTGCGCCGTGGGCCAGCAAGGTCCCATGCAGCACACGGGAGCTGCCGAAATGAGTGGTCTGAATGTGGCCAGCCCCAGAGGGTCCCTCCCGCACGTGGCTTCTGTGGGCTTTAGGCTGGAACAGCAACGCTTGTCAAGCTGCAAACCCCGGTCCTGGCTCCCAGGGTGCCAGCAGCCCCACTGTCACCGGCGGCCCCGTCACAGCCTAACTCTGGTTTGCAGCCCGACGACACGCAGGACACGCAGTCAAGGTGGACAGAATCTGACATGCACGTCTGACTGGCTGGGGCCATGGCTGTGAGCGCTCATTCGTTGCTTCTGTGGAATATTCAAGCCCAACAGGCCCCGTATGTGTCTGCCACGCCTGGCACTCCTTCTCCTTGCTCGGCCCTGGAAAGGTTGCAGCGGCAGCCGGGAAACGAGGTGCCGCCTGCGCTCCCAGCCCTGGGCTCTTCCCTGGAACCCCGCTGAGAAGGCCCCACTTCCTACCCCAGCAGGCTCCGGCCTCTGGTCCCGGACTGTGGGCCTCAGCCTCCACGTCTGTCCCTACCCAGCAGGCTCCGGCCTCCGGTCCAGGGCCGTGGGCCTCAGGGCGCAGACCCCCAGCTGCCCTAGGTACTCTGTGGGGCACCAGGGCCCACGGTTACTCAGGAAGGCTGCCCCAGGGGAAACGAGGCGGGAGCTGGCAAACTAAAAACCACTATGGGAGGGAGAAACAAGTCCCTCGCGGCCGACGGCAGCCCAGGTCACCAGGCCGTCCCTGAGCCACTGTCTGACTGACTGACCAGCAGGAGCTGATGTTTGCTGGACATGTCCGGTCTGGGGGGCAAGGAGCTAACCGACAGAGCAGGCAAGGCCCCACGCGCTTCCACACAGGACCCTCGCCTGGCGGGGGGACTGGCTGGGCAGGAGTGACAATCCCAGTGGTGGGGGGCTTGCAGAGAAGGGAGCCAGGCCCCGGGAGGAGGGGTTCCCAGGCCCCCGATGTGGCCACAGCCAGCACCCCTACCCGGGCTTCCCCCAGAGATTTCCCGCTTGGGGGGGTCAGAGCGAGGAGACAGCTCTGGCCCTTGGCTTCCCCGCAGCTCCCACACATCCGCATCCCTGTCACCGGGCGCGACTCCCCGCCGTCCGAGCGCCAGTGGTGTGTGGGCTTATGCTGCCCCTCGGTTTCTGGTGATTTCTTGATGGCATCTTCTGTGGGGTCGCCAGACATGAGAGGCACAGAGCACAGGAGTGAAATCACTGGCCCTTGTCCCCCAGGTCCCAGGGGCTGCCTTCCTGACCCCCCGCCCATCGCTGCCCAGGGGCCCTGTGGGTCTCCTCCTCCACAGGCGGCCTCTCCCGGCGGCCCCAGCGCAGCCCTCCCTCCCCTGGTCTGGGGAGGACACGGAGGCCGTGCCGCCTGCCCGGGAGCCTGGGGTGGGGGGCTCGCTGCCCGGCCAGCTGCCTCCCCTCGCAGAGACCGGCTCTGGCATAAAGGCCATCACCCCCTCCCACCTGCGCCACTCCATCAAGCCAGGGATGCATGGGACTACACGCGGGAGGTGACAGGGCAGCCGACAGCAGGGGAGATGGCACCAGGGATGATGGGGGGTGCTGAGGAGGCGCTGGGCAGGAAGCAGGCAGACCTTCCTGTGGAAGGTACACGTGTGGGGGTGGCTGGGGTGGGAGGGTTCGTCTGTCTGCTGCGGGCTACCGTCAGGCGTCTGTGGACACTCGGGGCCCCCAAGGAGAAGCAGGTGCGTGGCCGGTCAGCACCGTCGCCTGGAAGGTGGCCACCCCCAGCCAGCGCCAGAGGCAACAGGGAGCAGAGTGCTCCACCATGAAGCTTCGCAAGGCGAGAAGGAGGCTGGGGGTGGCCACAGCCCAAGGTGGGGGCTGGCAGGGGCGATGGGGAGAGGGGGGCTCCGAGGGTCTCAGATCCAACCACTCGGTTACATGGCCTCCCACCTCTGTCCCATGGTCGTGGGGCAAAGACACACAGACAGTGACCGGTAGCCTGGGGCGCTCCCCCCGTGGGCAGCAGTCCGCAGTTCTGGATGGTGCCCGAGCCCGAGTGTCCAGAGGGGGTTATATTTTAATATAACTGCAGAGTGCGCGGCCTACTTCCTGTCCAGCCCCTGCAAGGGACACGCCCGACAGAGGCCGTGAACCCGGGTCAGCTGAACCGTGGCTGCCGGCAGGAGCCACTCCTCTCCTGAGCAATCGCCCACCTCCTGACAGACGGTCACCGAGGACAGTTGGCTCTGCGGGGGAGGCAGGTCCCCAGGAAACAGAGTCACTGAAGAGCACAGACGGACAGGCGCTCAGATCCCAGGGCCAGTTAGGGTAGGACGGCTGCGTGGAGGCCCTGAGGGCCTGGGACAGAGGCAAGCCATTCCTCTCCTCTGGGGTTGCCCTGCGTGTGACCCATCTTCAGAGGACATGTCAGGGCCACGTGTCCCATCCACGGCAGGCCCAGCCGCACCCGCCCCCGTCCTGTCTGTCAGGGCGAGTACAAGAGACGTGACCAAGGGCCAAAGTGGCTGGCCTTCACGCCAGAAAGCCAGCACTTTCGAGCGAGCTTTGAGGTCCCTTCCCCTCTCGGGAGTCAGGTGTGGCAAATTCTGGTGCCCCTGGGGCCAGCGGCGGACAGAAAGAGGGGAGGCCATTCTCTCGCCCTGGTCAGGACCAGCCATGGTCTTCCCTGAACCCTGCCCTGCCCATCCCACAGAGTTGCTGCCGCATGGTAAGGACCTCTAGCACACCCTCCATCCATTCCAGAACATTCCCCAGGGGCCATGCCCTGTCCTGAGGGCTCTCCTTCTCGTCCATTGATGGCCCAGGACCAGGGGCCACGAGCATGGACCCCAAGCAGTGAGGAGCCCCAAGGGGAGCCCCAAGGGCTGGGCTTCTCCCTGGAGGAAAGGGTACAGGGGTGGGGGCGAAGGCTGTTCTGTGCTGGGCTTCTCTGCACGGCGTGGGGGCTTAAGGGGGAGAACAGGCCGAGGTGAACGTTGGGGATAGGGTGGGGGCCAGAGGCACGGGCAGGATGCCTCACCCACCATGGGCAGCGACTCTCCCGGATTCCTGGGAGGGGCCACAGGTAATCACGCCGGCCTCCACAGCCCCCTCGCACCCCACCATTACACGAATGCCCCACAGTGAGTTCCCCAGGCAGGAACTCTCACCAGAGGCAGGCCATACCCTCTATGCCCCCAGAGCCCAGCTCGTTGGTGTCAGATGAGGCCCAGCCTCTGAGCAATAGGGAATGCTGCCCCCTGCTTTGTCTCCCTGAGGACACCTGCCTCACACCTCTCCCAAGCTCCTCGGGCTATAGACAGCCTTGGGTGCTGGGAGGTTCCCAAGACACAGCATGGGTCCCCTGGGCTCTGAATCTGTGCCTTCAGAAGCTGGAGGTCATTGCTGGTCCAGAGGGGCCCGGGGCAGAAGGACTGGCTAGGGCCTGTCCACTGACCTGTCCAATGAGCCCCATGCCAGCCCTGGATGCCCAGCGGGACTATGTCCAGCCGGGGAGCCTGGCCCGTGCCTGCATGGGGCACTCTGGGGGCTGTCCACCTGGGGGACAGCAGGCAGAGGCCCTGAGGATACCAGAACAGAGCACAGACACTTCTCGGGGACACTTCCTTTGAGCACAGGTGACCCTGTCTTGAATTTCCACTTTGAGGAGACAGCCTGGCCCCTAGCAGTCCCTCAGCAGTGCTCCCACTGAGCAATCCCCTCACTACCAGGTCCCTTCTGGCCTTGCCCCAGTGGGCTGCCCCCCGTCCTCCCAGGATGTCCCAGAGGAGCCCAGGCTCTGGGAGTCTGGGGGACATCCCCAGAGTCCCCACACTGGCCTCTACTCGTTCGAGGGGCAGTCATTCCCGGCTGCTGGGCCCCTCTCCAGTGGCTGCCTCTGTTCAAGAGGGACTCGCAGGGAGAGGTCCAGCTTGGAATGAGGCTTGGGGAGGGGACGCTGGCCTGACTGGATGCCCAGTGCCAGACTCAGTCCAGAGGCCCTGGGAGGCCCAGGCTGGGAGGGGAGCAGGTCTGTGCCTGTCCCTCACCTTGCCTAGCCCCTGGGCCTGGGTCCCACCACCCCAGTGGGTGAGCTCTGAGAGTCCCTGCCTGTCCTTTATGTGGCTCTGGGAAGCTTTCAGTGACAGGAGTAGGGCGAGTGTGACACAAATCACGTGTGGAATCGATTATCCTGCGGGGGGACTCCAGAGGGAAGCGTCCAAGCACAAGGTTAGGATGAGGGGGGGGTCTCCTTTGGTCCTTGGGCAGGTGCTTTCTCCTCACCAGGCCTCAGTCTACCCATCTGCTGGACGCCATCCCGCTACTGACCTCTGAGTTCTTTTCTGGATATTAGAAAAGAAAGCCGCAGTTGATGATTCTCCCTCAGGAGGAAGCTGGTGTGTGGCCCCCAAGCACACGATCCTCCCAGGGAGAACCCTGGAAGGCTGGGAGCCCTTTCCCGCAGGTGCGGGGGGAGGGGGAGGTCTGGGGGAGAGCCAGCCCCTCCCGGGCGTGGTCGCTCAGGGGCACAGCTTCACCCAGGACGCCTCCGGGTCTCCAGGAAACTGCTTCCAGACAACAGCGTTCCTTAGACCCCATGGCAGCAGGGCCTGCACTCCTGTTTCCAGGGAAACTCAATCCTCAGCGTCGCGGTTGCCCCAGCAACGCCCCGGGCTGAGCTGGCCGTTTGGTGGCCAGCCCAGCGGGGCTAGCTGGGCGCCCTGACGGAGGAGCCAGGTGTGGTGCTGGGGTGATGCTGGCCCGGCCAGGGTGCCAGGAGGACACTCGCCGGGCAGCCAAGCCCCGGCTTCCTCCCAGGTCCTGTGCTCCGGTCTGAGATGAGTTCTGCCTCCAGCAAGCCCGGTGATGGGGATGCAGAGCAGACCCCACTGGGGCTGGACACCGTGATCCAGGTCAGTGGGGTGCCCGCCCTCCAGCACCCTCCTGGGAGCAGGCTCGAGGGCACCTTGGGGGGTGCACGGAGAGGCCACACCTCCCCAGCTCCAAGGGGCACTTGGGTGCTCACACGGTCAGCATGAGCACGCACACAGAAGTGCAGCATCAGCTCAGGAGAGGGGCCTGGGGAGAGACTGGACTGGGCATGGGGAGACCTGAGCCCAGCACCCAGCCGCCCATCCATGCCTGCATGAGCTCAGGCCGTCAGCCCCCTTCTCTGAGCCTCAGGCTCACGGCCTGAGGCACACGGCGGGTGGGGAGGGACAGGCAACTCTTCCCCACTTCCTTTGAGCACTTCCTTTGAGATTCAAGACAGGGTCCCCACGTGCTGGGACCCCACTCACTGCTTTCTTCGTGGCAGTGTGGGAGCTACCGTTGCTGGGCGGAGGTGCTTCATCCCGGTATCTATTCTCTGACTTCCAGAACTTTCCCGTGTGCATAACAGCACCAATAGCGAGGACCGCGAACTCTCCCCGTGCCCCTCTCTCTTCACTCCCTACTTCCCAGAGTCAACCCAGTGCCCGCCCCGCCATCCCACGCCCTTAGGCGCTTACCACTGCCGTCACTGGACTCTGGCCGCCACGGCAGGCAGTCTGCACCCAGACTGAGCCCTCGGGGATCCCAGTGAACCCCCGATGCCCCGGCTGACTCCGTTGTTTACTAACCCAGCTCTTAGAATCTCAGACCGCGCTGTATGGGGTTGACATGGTCCCTGTACAAACAGCACAGGCAGCCAGAGAAGAGTAACGGCCCCCAGTTGTTGCCACATGATTGAATAACATGGTGGAGCCACCTTGCACACGCACACGCACACGCGTGCACACACACACTGATGCCTACACAGGATACACTGTGATGGGACAGGATACTTGAATCAGGTGACGCAACAAGACAAAACAAGGGCCTGGGTGGGTGACTCTGTCCAGCTCCCAAGGGGTGTCAGTTCTCTGGATGGAGAGAAGGACAGATGGAGGGAGGGCAGGCTTGCACACTACGGTTTCAAGACGCTTTCAGCCAGGCATCCCAGAGGATCATCCTCTCTGGATTCCAGGAAAATAGAGGCTTGAGGGTTGAAGCACGTTGCTATGGCTACCAGCGTTTGAGGGAGAGACGCCGGCTGGGGCCTTGCCTGGCAGTGGGCCATTGCTTGGCAGACAAGGCTGCCCCCAAATCCCACTGCCTGTGGGAAACTGTCACTGAAAGTCACAAGGAGTCCCAGCCGAGGTCCACGCTGCCCGCCCAGCCAACACCTGTTATTTGCATTGTGGTGATGAAGATCTAGGTGCCATCACCCCGGGGGTGAGTAGGCAGGCAGGCGCCAAGAGATGCCCAGATAGGCCTGTCCAGACGAGGAGGCAGGGCCACAGGGCTCCTCCAGCCCCTCCAGCTGCAGACAGGGAAACTGAGGGGCCTGGGCAAGGTGTGGCTTGCCAATGGGACCAGGCCTGATGGCACTCCCCACACCTGGAGAGCGCCCCTGCAGCCTCTGCATGGCACCCCAGGGCACCCAGCCCCTGGCCTCCCCCTCAGAGCTGGGTTCTCAGGGGGTCCGGCCCTAGAGCAGACAGACAGGCAGACAAGAGGCAGAGCCCCGGGCGGGGAGGCCAACGCCAGAGGGCCCATGATTCTGGATTCGGTCCCCTTAAAACTACCAAAACAGACTCTCTTTCAGGTGTAGGTTCTGATTAATGATAATTTCCTAGGAATTTGTCCACATACCTAAATTTTCAAATTTACTGACGAAAGTTGTTCCCAATATCTTCTCGCTGTTGTTTTGATGTCTGAGGATCTGAAGCAGGTGGCCGCCGGCCCCTGGAGTTGAGGGGTTGGAGACCCAGGGATTCCTGTGTGACATTCGGGAGATCAGGGCAGGCCGAGAGGAGTCGGTCACCCTGAGCGATACCCATTTTGCTTTTCCGATTTCGGCCACTGGTTGATCCTCTTTACCGTATTTTTGCCTTCTATTTCATTAATGTATAGATTTATTATTCCTTTGCTTTTCAGTTCTTTGGGTTTGTTGCTCATCTAATTTTTTGAGATGTGTGCTTATCTCATTAATTTGCAGCCTTCTTTTAAAAAAATTTTTTTTTTTAATGAGGCGCCTGGGTAGCTCAGTCGGTTGAGTGTCCGACTCTTGGTTTCAGCTCGGGTCATGATCTTGCGGTCATGGGATCAAGGCCGGCATTGGGCTCCGTGCTCAGTGCAGAGTCTCCCTCAGATTCTCTCCCCCTCTGCTGTCTCACCCACTCTGTCTCTCTCTCTGCACGCATGCATGCACGTGCTCTCTCTCTAATAGATAAATAAAATCTTAAAAAAATGTTTTTTTAACTTCTTTTAAAAATGTGGCAAAATATATATATATATACATCAAATTTACCATTTTAACCATTTTTAAGTGTGCAGTTCAGTGGCATTAAGCCCATTCACATTTATATACAACCATCACCACCATCATCTCCAGAGCTTTCTCACCTTCTCAAACTGAAACTCTGTCCCCATGAAACACGGACTCCCCAGCCCCACCCCAGCCCCTGGCGCCCGCCCTTCTGCTCTCTGCCTCCATGAATTTGGCCACTCTCAGGACCTCAGAGGTGGACTCAGACAATATCTCTCCTTCTGTTCCTGATCCATTTCACTCAGTGCGATGTGCCCCGGGTTCATCCCTGTGCTAGCCGCGGTCAGAATGTCCTTCCTTTGCAAGGCCGAATCATACTCCATTGTGTGGATGGACCACACCGTGTTTCTCCGCTCACCTGTTCATGGACAATTGGGTTGTTTCCACCTTCGGGCTGTTGTGAATACACTGCTGTGGACATTGGTGTGCAAGTCTGTGTTTCAGTCCCTGCCTTCACTTCTTTTGGGGATATACCCAGAAGTGGGGTTGCTGGGTCCTATGGTAACTCCTTATTTAATGTGAGGAACCACCCTACTGTTTTCCACAGCAACTGTATCATTTCACATCCCCACTTTCTTTTTCTTCTTTTTTGAAGGTATGCTTTTCTTTCCCAACAACGCGTTAGCTACATCCCATACATTTTGATATAATAATTTTCATTATTATCCAGTTCAAACTGTTTCCTAATTTCCATTGTGATTCTATCCGTGGGTCATCTAGAGGTATAAATACCCTAATTTCCAAACACGTAGAGATTTTCAAATTGTTTTCTACACCTCGTTTGACTATATTGTGCTCAGAGGTTTTGTTTGGAACATCTTAGAGTGGACAAGCCTATTAGCATCCAAGTGGGGATGGTAGGGAGGTAAGTGGATATATGGACCTGACCTCAGGGAAGAGCTCCATGCTGGAAATAGACATGTGGGCTTGTTGGCAGATGTGTAGCTGGGTGAGTGTCCATAGAAAGAGGAGATGGAGCACTCCCACACTTACAGATGGGAGGGGCAAGAAGGAACCAGCCAAGGAGACCAAGATGGGTGGCCAAGGAGGTGAGAACAACTGGGAGGGGTGGTGTCAGCAGGAGAATGTTTCAGGGAGGAGGTGGTGACCCACATGCTGCTAAGAGATCAAGGAAGATGGAGACCATGGACCACTGGGTTTAGCAACATGGAGGTCACGGGTGACCTTGACTGCAAGGGTACCTCATGGGGCATGTAGGAGCAACACTTTTTTAAAGAGGGGTATAAATTAAAACAGTTTGTGTCAATAAGCAAGGTCTGAAAGAGAGAGAAAAATCACTGATACATAAGAAGAAGGAAGGCTTGCTGGACAATGTGTTAGGTACATGACAGAAGATGAGGTGGGATGGATGGGATGGAACCTGAGGGGGCCCACCCGTGCGACTAGGATGGCTTGAGAGCATCATGGTGTGGCAAGCCCTCATCAGTCACTTGCCAAGGGCCAAGCCCTGGGCTATTTCCAAGCCAGCCAAGGACAGAGGCACTGGCCCATCTCTGAATCTTCCATCCATTTGCCCTGATGCAGCCAAGGTCATGCCAGACCTGGTCAGATTAACCAGTTATGCTAATCAGATGGGCCGCATCCCCCTCCTCCTCATTCAGAAACACCGCTCTCCCCTCTGCCACCCCATAGTCCAAGGGGACTGTGGCGGCGCAGCCATTCAAGGCTTCCACAGTGTCCGCCTCTCCTGCCTTGTTGCCCCCCATCCCTGCACCCTCCTCCCCCAGGCCCCATGCAGACTTTGAGAACCCACCCCACTGCCTTTGCTTCCGCTCTTCCCTCCACCTGGACACCTGACCTGCGCTTCCGCTAGCTGCTGGGCTCTTGCTTGTCCTTCAGGGTCCGACTCGCCTGCCACCTCCTCTAGGAAGTCTGTGTGGGCACCGCGAACACAGGAGCAAACAAGACCAACAGGGTCCTTGCCCTTCCGAGAGTTCCTTAATATAAATCATTTTGTAGTTAGTGATTCATACCTTAGGCTGGGTTTTCTGTCATTCACATGGTGACCTGTGCCAAGCACTGATCATGCTGGGGACTCAGAGATAAATGACAAGTTGTTCCCCTCACCCCAAATGCCTGTCAATGCCTGGCCCGATCTCCCATCTATTATGAGTTGAGGACCAAACTGCCCCCCGTAAGAAGCATGACCCTGCTCCTGGGGCGACACCCAGGGCCCCAGCGGGCTCCACAAATGCACAGAAATCTGAATTGGCCAGGGCTAAGACAGAGCAGCCAGGGGCCAGGTGTTACCGCAGACACAGAGGAGCTCTTTTTCCTCAGGAAACGGAGCCTGGCAGGCCACCAGCCCGGCCAGGGCCCTCTCTGCAGCAGGCCAAGCCACGGAAGGATGGCAAGCAGACGTCCGGTAGCTGGCCTTGGCTGCAGACCCTGTCCTCGGATGTGTTCTCCCAGCTGTGCCCGCTCCTGGCGAGGGCGAAAGCCTGCCGCTGAGGGATGCAGGGGGGCCTGTGGGGGGGCCCGAGTGGGCAGACAGGGAGGAGCACAGGGGGCGGCGGCCGTGGGGGGCCAGGCTCAGTTCCTCTGCCATCTGCCTGGGCTCGGGGACGTGCCACACCGCGGAGGACACCTGAGGCCAGTGTGCCTGCTGAGTCCCAGTCTCCCGCCACAGGGCAGGTGCCGGGACCCACAGGCGGGTCAGTCCTAACACTACCTTTGGTGGGTGCGTGACCTTGGGGGAGCCTCCTCGCCCATAGTGAACAGGAAACCTGCCCTTTGGGGTCACGACAGCGGGCGTGACAATATTCGCTACGAAATCCTCAGCGGGGAATGCCCCGCCTCACTTCACTCCTGTGGGCTGGCGACCTTCCCTTCTCCATGGCGCAGGTCAGCCCCCAGAGCCTCAGCCTCCTGCAGTACCGCTGGCGGCCACACAGCGGCACTGTGGGAGCTCGGCCGCCCAACGCGGCAGCCGGCCAGTCCACCCGCAGAGGGGCCCGGGACAGCCCCTGGACTCGCACGCCCTCCCTCGGCCTGCTCCTGCCCGGGGAGGCTGCAGCCTGTGACCCGGCTGAGCGGGGATCGTCCACTGGACGCTCTGTCCCAGGGTGATTTTGATCAGAGGTTCTGGTGCCCCTCACTCCCTACCACTGGGCTCATTGAACCCAGGCCGAGGTCGCGTGTGGGGGAGCCTCACCTTCTTCCGTCCCGAAGATGCCAGGCTCCTCTTACGAGCCCATCCTTCCCTCCTCCTGGGTAACAGGCGGTCTGCGTCCGGTGCCCCTAGCAGCCTGGACGCCCAGGGGGAGCCGCTCAGGGACTTACTGATGCTGCTCCCCCAGCAACAGGAAGTAGTGAAATTGCTCTGTGTGATTTCCATTTGCTGACCTACAAGGCCACCTGCCCTCCCGAGCCACCTCCTGTCCCACAGACTCCACACCCCACCCTCCGCAGAGCCGCAGCGCCCCCCCCAGAGCTCTGGGGTGCCCCCTCCCATTTCACAGACGAGGACCTGAGGCAGGGGACACACCCAGGGTCATGCGGTGCACTGGCAGGACAGGGACCCCAACCCAGTTCTCCAGGGGAGTCCTGCTCTGATCCGGGTGGGGTACATAGGGGAGCCCACGCTCCTCCGTGTGCAGGCTCTCCCGTCCACACAGCCGCAGTGGGGAGGGGTGACCGTGACCAAGGGGTGCCTGGCCCCCTTGCAGGTATCTGTTTCCATGGGCCATGCCGAGCAGGGGCGGGGACCTCGCAGTGGCCTTTAGCGCAAGTTGAGCTGAGGAGGGCGCTGGGGGCGGGAGGAAGGGATAGGGCTGCGTTCAACTGTGAGTCTGGGGTCTTTGGGGAAACCGATGTCCAGCCCTCCGACGACGGGCTGAGAGTCCCGGGGCGGGGGGTAGCCTTCTGGAAGCCTCCCTGTGCCCAGCCCGGACACGCAGACCCCACCCCCACCCCCCGCCTCGGCCCCCGACCACAAATGGCCAGCCCGGGAGGAGGGCCCCCGGCCCGCAGAGGAGGCGACACGCCCGGACCTGCAGGGCCGCAGGTGGCGGCCAGGGGCTGCAGACAGGAAGGCCTCGGGGCGGAGGGAGCAGCCTCTCTGGGCCAGACTCAAGGCGGCCGGAAACAGGCAGCGAGCCGCGGGGTCCTGCCCGGAGGTCCGCGAGGCCCCGCGACCCGCCCCGGATGGAGACCAGGCCTCTCTCCTGGCCCCGCCC